CCTCAGTCACCTCAATGGCAAAAAGTGTCCCAATCAACCTGAATTCACCCCTATATAATAAAGTTGGCACTTCCAGTTGCCTAAAATATGACAGTGCTCATGAGTGTTTCTCAGAAATGATTTGGTAGCACAAACTGTACTGTACTGAAGCAGTTTTTCACTTCTCAAGCTTTTTCTCTCTTTCCTCCTGTCAGCTGGTGAAGAACTGTAATGATGGAGCACGGAGGATGGAGCGGACGGAGCAGATGTACACCATCCAGAAACAGATGGAGTTTGGTAAAATCAAGGTATGGCTGATAAAAGACACATTTAATTTCAGTTGAGGCCTAGTTTTCAATATAAAGTTTTGCAGTAATGACATACTCTTGTGGAGCGTCACCCTGTTTCCCTCGACAAAATCCAAATACTTAATATTTTTCCATTGGCTTTTTTGGATTATTTCAGAAAATAAGGTCTGTGAGTAACAAAAGCTTATTACTTTTACACCTTTTGTCTTTAGTCAAACGTCATCACCTGAACAGGAAAACTCATCTAATGTCCTCGACAACCACTTTTAAATCATCAAGGCTAGTAAAGCTTTAAAAATGACATGAGGGCATAACTGATGTATTGTACATCATACAATAAAGTGTGAATATATCTTGAGCTTGTGTTCACCGCAGACCTTTTTTCAAGTATTTTACTAAAACCCTTTTAAAAAACCATTGACTTGAGGACGATGGGACCTGAAGTGATAAACACTTGTTTCCAGGTTTTGTCCCACAAAAATACTTGAGATTTTTTATATATATAAGAAAACTAAAACCTTTGCAACCACTTTGATTTATTTCTGACTGAATAAAAAACACTTTACAATAAGGTTCATTGTTACTATTAGTTAACTGCCTTAGTTAACATGAACTAAGAATGAACTAATCTTAATGTCAATTCAACATTTACTAATACATTGTTAATTAATTAATTCATTACATTTTTACATTGTATTTTATTGTTACTGATTTTATGCATCTAGAATTGATTGGATCATAAAAAGTGAATATTACATCCCAAGTTTATGGATGTAAAGGGTTGGAAAATGAGTGAGATCGGAAGAAGTGGGGCAAGTCAATTGGATAGACGAGTGCAAAGACCAACTCGTGAGATCAGGAGATTTCTTTTAACAAAGAAAGGATTATTTCTCGAACCTACTTTGTATTTAAAATCTTTGTCATACAGTAGTGTGTCTCTTACACTTCATGTATGTTTTTAGCCTTTCCCGTTAGTGTCGTCGTCTCGCTGGCTGAAGAAGAGTGGCGAGCTGGCTGCGTACACTGATGATCTCAGCATTTTCAGGAAGGCGTTCGGCTACAAGAGCTTCTACCTGTTCCTCTTCAATGATGTGCTCATCGTCACAAAGAAAAAGAGGTCAGACCAGTGTCGCCGTACTTCATTCAGTGTCCACTCAGTCAACACACAGCACTCTTTTCAGTTAATAATTCTGGCGTTGACCATGTAACTGTTTCAGAAGTATTTCCAGTGGCTTGGGCTGTTTTCATCAAGACGCTTATTCTGTGGCAATAGGAAGTTGTTCAAGGGATAGTTCACTTTGAAATACATTTTTTGGTATGTTTTAGCTTACCTCAAGGGCATCCAAGATGTAGGTGTCTTTGTATCCGCAGTAGTTTCAATTTTGATATTGTCTATCAGTCATATAATGGTCACCACCTCAAAGTCCAAATTGAACATGATTTAATGACTCGTAAATGTAAGTACACATTGATGGCCTAAAACACGAAACGAGCGGTTTGTGTGAGAAAACGAACAGTATTTATATCGTTTTTACCTCTTGTTACCTCAGCCACAAAGTGCTCGCGCCCTCAGATCACTTGGATGTGGCTGTGGTTACAAGAGGTAAAAACGATATAAATACTGTTCGTTTTCTCACACAAACCGCTCATTTCGAGTCTGAGGCCATCAATGTGTACTTACATTTACGAGTCATTAAATCATGTTCAGTGTGGACTTCTCTGTGCATGCTCAGTGAGGTGGTGACCATAGACCTCCATTATATGACTGACAGACAAGAACGGTTTGAACTAAAAATATCAAAATTGAAAATACTGCGGAAACAAAGACAACTACATCTTGGATGCCCTTGAGGTAAGCTAAAACATACAAAAACATCATTTCAAAGTGAACTATCCCTTTCATAACATTGACGTACACAGAATTCAAACGCGGTTCAAACTGAATCATTCAACATTAACTGCACAATTCAATGAAAGTACTGCATTAATGTGCCCAAATCTGCATTAGTTGTCATTGTATCATTGATTTGTTTCTTACATGACCGATCCTGCACTGATATCTAGGCTTGCAGAATTCAAACATTCAGAATTCAAGACCCCTTCTGTGATGAACTTCTTGCATACTTCTTACTGCTGAGACTAAAAACAGACTTTCATCTAGTCAATTGAAAATGTAAACATATATTATCTATCAGTATTTGCCAAATGTAGACAGAACATAGCCTTGAAAATGGGCATCATTTACTCGCCCTCGTGTCATTCCGAACCCATAAGACTTTGGTTCATCTCTGAAACATCAGTTAATGAATATTATTATTATTAGGTGTTCAAGATAACAAAAATTTTTGTTATTTCGTTTTTTGTCCAAAACCCACTTTTGCGAACTAGTCCCTGGTTTTTTGCCCAATCGGGACCAAACCAGTCTAGGCCTATTCTCTGGACTCTCTAGATCAATAATTATCGAAAAAAAAAAGTTGAAATTTTGCATTTGGTTGGCTGTAACAGGGTCATTTAGATAGTGGTCTGTGGCAAAATTCAGTCCAAAGCCCCTAAATCCCCCCCCCCCAAAAGTCACAACTTCACAAAAATCTATGAGCATATGTGTCCTAACATGGTTAGGAAGCATGCAAAGTTTCGTGAGGATCAGATCATAGGTGGCGCTATAATCGTCAAGAAGGTCTCTCATTATTAGGTGTTCAAGCACGAAGTGGTGCTAGAAAGAGAAAAAAAATCCCCTAAAACGCATCGTGCAGCCCAAACCGTAAGGGCTGGAGCTCTGAAACTTTGTCAGATGGTAGGGCCTCAAATTGTGGAGAAGCTATCAGAGTATGAGCCCGATTGGCCCATAGGTGGCGCTACAGCAACCAAAGTTCCTCCGCAAAGTTCCGTGAGGATCGAATTTAGGTGGCAATGAGTGGTGTTTTACTGCCCGCTGCTGTTTAAATTACTTTTTTTTTTCACAATACTCAACTATAATTCATAGTATAACTTTAGCAATTCAATCTTTTAACATTTACAACCACATTTAGTAAAATGCTGTGATCCTGAAGTTGAAAATGAGTGTGTGAACTAAACTGTAGTAAATCATATTTTAACATGGTAAATTATGATAAATCATATTGGAACATGGTTAATTATGTAATATTCACACTGAAATGTAGTATATCATGATAAATCATGCCTGCTACATACAACTTATGTCTTTTGATGGCTTTTTGTGCTTAATGCCTCTAAAGATCTGAACTGCTTGAACCTGATAAATGCTGCTTGGCAGCTTTAATTATTATTATTATTATTATTAACAAAATCTGTAAGGTTTCTGTCCTTTTGTTGAAAGTCCAAGTAAGCAAAAATTGTAAGATCCCGAAAGGTCCGAGTCAGGTCTAAGTCTCATGGCCCTCTATCAGAAACCAGAGTTTTGAGAAGATTGGAGAAACTTCATTTTTCGCCTGAAAAAAAAAAAACGTAAGGGGTACACTGTCGTTTTTTTTTTCGGGTCGAAATTTTGATTTTCGATATCTCAGCTCTGGAAGGGTCTAGAGCCTCCATTTTTGCACTCAGGTCTAAGTCTCATGGCCCTCTATCAGAATCCAGAGTTTTGAGAAGATTGGGGATACTTAATTTTTCGCCCAAAAAAAAACGTAAGGGGTAACACTGTCGTTTTTTTTTTTCGGGTCGAAATTTTGATTTTCGATATCTCAGCTCTGGAAGGGTCTAGAGCCTCCATTTTTGCACTCAGGTCTAAGTCTCATGGCCCTCTATCAGAATCCAGAGTTTTGAGAAGATTGGGGATACTTAATTTTTCGCCCAAAAAAAAAAAACGTAAGGGGTAACACTGTCGTTTTTTTTTCGGGTCGAAATTTTGAGTTTCGATATCTCAGCTCTGGAAGGGTCTAGAGCCTCCATTTTTGCACTCAGGTCTAAGTCTCATGGCCCTCTATCAGAATCCAGAGTTTTGAGAAGATTGGGGATACTTAATTTTTCGCCCAAAAAAAAAAAACGTAAGGGGTAACACTGTCGTTTTTTTTTCGGGTCGAAATTTTGAGTTTCGATATCTCAGCTCTGGAAGGGTCTAGAGCCTCCATTGTTGCACTCAGGTCTAAGTCTCATGGCCCTCTATCAGAATCCAGAGTTTTGAGAAGATTGGGGATACTTAATTTTTCGCCCAAAAAAAAAAAACGTAAGGGGTAACACTGTCGTTTTTTTTCGGGTCGAAATTTTGAGTTTCGATATCTCAGCTCTGGAAGGGTCTAGAGCCTCCATTGTTGCACTCAGGTCTAAGTCTCATGGCCCTCTATCAGAATCCAGAGTTTTGAGAAGATTGGGGATACTTAATTTTTCGCCCAAAAAAAAAAACGTAAGGGGTAACACTGTCGTTTTTTTTTCGGGTCGAAATTTTGAGTTTCGATATCTCAGCTCTGGAAGGGTCTAGAGCCTCCATTTTTGCACTCAGGTCTAAGTCTCATGGCCCTCTATCAGAATCCAGAGTTTTGAGAAGATTGGGGATACTTAATTTTTCGCCCAAAAAAAAAAACGTAAGGGGTAACACTGTCGTTTTTTTTTCGGGTCGAAATTTTGAGTTTCGATATCTCAGCTCTGGAAGGGTCTAGAGCCTCCATTTTTGCACTCAGGTCTAAGTCTCATGGCCCTCTATCAGAATCCAGAGTTTTGAGAAGATTGGGGATACTTAATTTTTCGCCCAAAAAAAAAACGTAAGGGGTAACACTGTCGTTTTTTTTTCGGGTCGAAATTTTGAGTTTCGATATCTCAGCTCTGGAAGGGTCTAGAGCCTCCATTTTTGCACTCAGGTCTAAGTCTCATGGCCCTCTATCAGAATCCAGAGTTTTGAGAAGATTGGGGATACTTAATTTTTCGCCCAAAAAAAAAAAACGTAAGGGGTAACACTGTCGTTTTTTTTTCGGGTCGAAATTTTGAGTTTCGATATCTCAGCTCTGGAAGGGTCTAGAGCCTCCATTTTTGCACTCAGGTCTAAGTCTCATGGCCCTCTATCAGAATCCAGAGTTTTGAGAAGATTGGGGATACTTAATTTTTCGCCCCAAAAAAAAAACGAAAGGGGTACCACTGTCGTTTTTTTTTTCGGGTCGAAATTTTGAGTTTCGATATCTCAGCTCTGGAAGGGTCTAGAGCCTCCATTTTTGCACTCAGGTCTAAGTCTCATGGCCCTCTATCAGAATCCAGAGTTTTGAGAAGATTGGGGATACTTAATTTTTCGCCCAAAAAAAAAACGTAAGGGGTAACACTGTCGTTTTTTTTTCGGGTCGAAATTTTGAGTTTCGATATCTCAGCTCTGGAAGGGTCTAGAGCCTCCATTTTTGCACTCAGGTCTAAGTCTCATGGCCCTCTATCAGAATCCAGAGTTTTGAGAAGATTGGGGATACTTAATTTTTCGCCCAAAAAAAAAAAACGTAAGGGGTAACACTGTCGTTTTTTTTTCGGGTCGAAATTTTGAGTTTCGATATCTCAGCTCTGGAAGGGTCTAGAGCCTCCATTTTTGCACTCAGGTCTAAGTCTCATGGCCCTCTATCAGAATCCAGAGTTTTGAGAAGATTGGGGATACTTAATTTTTCGCCCAAAAAAAAAAACGTAAGGGGTAACACTGTCGTTTTTTTTTCGGGTCGAAATTTTGAGTTTCGATATCTCAGCTCTGGAAGGGTCTAGAGCCTCCATTTTTGCACTCAGGTCTAAGTCTCATGGCCCTCTATCAGAATCCAGAGTTTTGAGAAGATTGGGGATACTTAATTTTTCGCCCAAAAAAAAAACGTAAGGGGTAACACTGTCGTTTTTTTTTCGGGTCGAAATTTTGAGTTTCGATATCTCAGCTCTGGAAGGGTCTAGAGCCTCCATTTTTGCACTCAGGTCTAAGTCTCATGGCCCTCTATCAGAATCCAGAGTTTTGAGAAGATTGGGGATACTTAATTTTTCGCCCAAAAAAAAAAACGTAAGGGGTAACACTGTCGTTTTTTTTTCGGGTCGAAATTTTGAGTTTCGATATCTCAGCTCTGGAAGGGTCTAGAGCCTCCATTTTTGCACTCAGGTCTAAGTCTCATGGCCCTCTATCAGAATCCAGAGTTTTGAGAAGATTGGGGATACTTAATTTTTCGCCCAAAAAAAAAACGTAAGGGGTAACACTGTCGTTTTTTTTTCGGGTCGAAATTTTGAGTTTCGATATCTCAGCTCTGGAAGGGTCTAGAGCCTCCATTTTTGCACTCAGGTCTAAGTCTCATGGCCCTCTATCAGAATCCAGAGTTTTGAGAAGATTGGGGATACTTAATTTTTCGCCCAAAAAAAAAAAAC